GCAGCGGCGGCGGCTGCAGCAGCAGTGGCAGCGGCGGCGGCGGCAGCTTCGAAGCCCTCGGACAGCAGCAGCGGCAGTGGAGGCAGCGCAGGGAGTCCCGGGGCGCAGGGCGCCAAGTTCCCGGAACACAACCCCGCGATCCTACTCATGGGCTCCACTAACGGTGGGCCGGTGGTCAAGACTGACTCGCAACAACCCCTAGTTTGGCCCGCCTGGGTCTACTGCACACGCTACTCGGACCGTCCGTCTTCTGGTGAGTACCCAAGCCGTAAAGTGACCATGTCTCTGGCCGGGGGGCCTGCCTCAGAACTCCAAACCCCCTCTCTGGGGAGAGCAAACGCTTTCTGAACCGCTCTCACTTCACGTCTGACTTCCACTTGCCCCAGGTCCTAGTCACAGTCGAACATAGCTCAGTTCTGCCATGCTGGCCTTTTCTACCACTCGGGAAGTTACAGCTAGCTATTGGCGAGCTCAGGAAGCTCCAGTTTCTGTCCTTTGGTTTTCCGAACTCTGAGCCAAGATCGTTTTTTATGTTTTATGTTTATTATCTTTAAGAAAGGTATATAATTACTCATTGATTTAATTTTTGGGGAAAGGGTGTTTTGAACTGGCGGAAAGAGGCCTGGTAGCTTGAATCTGCAATCTACCACCTTAGTTCTCTTGGGGCCGGCTTTGGCATGGGAAATAGACCAGAGGAATAATCTTTGCCTTATGTTCATAACAAACACTATGGATATTATTCTGTGGCAATTCCTTTTACATAAAGACAGATACGGTGAGAGAGAGAGAGAGAGAGAGAGAGAGAGAGAGAGAGAGAGAGAGAGAGAGACTCCATCTTCTGCGCCCAGCCCGGGTATGGCGAGTCAACCCGCGTGGGTAGAATGTAGAGTAAGGCTGTAGCCAAAAAGGTGAGCACCCACTGCTCGCCTAGGGTGAGGGAAGCAAGCAGGCCTGGGTCAGTCTTGAAAGCTGGGTTATGGACAAGAAAATCAGCGTTTTCTTAGCAGGGTCCCCCTATCCCTTTGGCGGTGTCTTCTTTCTTTCACTCTGTCCTCGCAAATCCGCCCGTTAGTAGCTATCTACCAGTCTTAGGGCAATTTTCTGCTTTCTTTTCGTGTGCTAGAGCACAGGAAAGGTTAAGACCTACCCACGGATAGCTGCTGGGCCCTGGAAGAGGAGGCTCAGGCCTGCTACCTCTTGCAGGGGACAAGGGGCAACGCGAACCGCGAGGAAAGCAACAGAGGCTTGGGTCCACGGTCAGCTTTGAGCCCGCCAGGGGGCCGGGCAAAAGGTAGCCACTGGCACCTCTCCGCTTGTTTGTCTCTTGCAGCCGTGCTGCTTCGGGCCGGGTGCGGATCGATGCGCGCTATCAGCCCCCGCCATCTCGAGCCCGGTTATTGACACGTCGGGCTCCCTGAACCTCCGAAAAGCTGCTTTGATTGACTCGCCTGATGGATAGAGTGATTGAGCTGTCAGACTGAGTGGGTCGGGCCGGCCAGGAGGCTACGATTTTATTACAAGTGTCCGTGCCTCTGCACACACGCACACAACAACAACACTACAACATGCCCCGGACGCACCTCCCGCAGCGGTGTCTCCTGGAGGATGGACACATTTCTTGGGCCATCTCTGCCTGCTCGGTTCACCTAAAAGCCCCAGTCCTGCTCAGGAGCAGGCCTTGTCTTTGTTCCTTGCTCCTTTCCTTTTTATAGGCCAGAGAAGGCAGCAATCAGATATTTTTATTCCAAAGGCAGTTCACGGGTTGACATTCTTCCTACAGTCAGTTAGGCCTGGGCTCCTCTTGACAAACAGCTAGTGACTCTAGGTGCTGGTCTGCAGCAGGACCCAGTCGCCCAGTGTGACCCAGGTTTGAAGATGCAAAGACCCTCCTTTCAGAAAGTTTTAGGTAATAACAGGTTTGGCAGGGACCTCACTTGAATCCGTAGGCCTCCACCGCTATCACTGAGGCCAACAGTTCAATGCCAGCATCCCAACAAGAATGCCAAGAAGCAGGCTTCAACCATACAGTCGCCATTCAGCAGCCGAGCTTTCTCTCTCTTGTTCTCCCTGCCTCTCTCCCAGGCTGGACCTCACAGCAACCTTACACATTAGCATTTGAGAGACTTCCTCTTCTGGGAGCACGTTCTTAAGGCCTTCCTACACGGTCATCTCGGTCATCTTGGAGTGATAGTACAGGTCCCCACTGTGATTGTCTCTTCACCACCACCTCTTGGTCCTTTTACTTACGGGTGGGGACGACAAGACAAGGGTTATCCCAATCATGGGATCTCTCATTTGTTGGTGTTACATCAGGACTTTTGCACCCCGAAATTGGAGCAAGCAAATACAGAAGAGAGATAGCAGGGCCTTTCTCCCCTCCCCAGCCCCATCTGTCCTATGTACAGGGATCAGAAGGGTCCTTCTTTTCTTCTTGTCATCAACTAAGGAAGCTGAATAGAATGTCCCAGGGCTTAAGCTCATAGACTAGAGGCTGCAGCTCCATTAAGGAAATGGCAGACAGTGTCTTGCCTCCTTCCAGAAGGAGCTTCCTTCAAGTCAAACGGAAAGGGAAGAAGGCAGTAGGGCCTCCAGATTCACTGGAGTTGGGTGAGCTCAGCTTCCCAGTCCTCTCTGGGGTCCGTGATGAGAATCAAGTGGGGGCTTTGCATAGTCCTCTGTGTGTGTGTGTGTGTGTGTGTGTGTGTGTGTGTGTTCCTGAGAATACAGTGGGAAGGAACCAAAGCAGACCAGCCATTCTCCCCAAGCCTGCCTTGCTGCTGCATTTTATTCCAGGGCTAGGAAGACATTTCTGTTCAGGGACCTTTAAGTCTAGGTTATTCTGATTGGGACCCCCCAAAGCTCACTCTGCCTTGTGCTTCTCCCCGACCCCACTTTTTTCAGGCCTTCTTGGCTGGGAAGTTCTGGGAGCTAAGTCTGGTAGCTTTCTTGAACTGGGATGTGGGGTGCCCCCTGTAAATTCCTGCCACTGTTCCTCCTTGACTTCAGCATCCCTCGTGCAGAGTGGGGGGGGGGGCTAGAAATCTCAATAGCTTAGAGAGGGGCTCTTCGATAGAGGTAGCAGGACCTAGCAGCAGGCCTCTACAATCTCCCCGGAAGCTCGGGACCCCTGTGCTGGGCTCCGCACAGCCATTCTCAAGCCTTACTCTGCCCTCTCCTCCTCCCTCTGCTCCCGACCCCCTTCCTCCCCTCCCCGGCCCTGTCTGCCCCGCTGCAGGTCCACGCACCAGGAAGCTAAAGAAGAAAAAGAACGAGAAGGAAGACAAGCGGCCTCGGACGGCGTTCACGGCCGAGCAGCTGCAGAGACTCAAGGCGGAGTTCCAGGCAAACCGCTACATCACGGAGCAGCGGCGACAGACCTTGGCCCAGGAGCTCAGCCTGAACGAGTCCCAGATCAAGATCTGGTTCCAAAACAAGCGTGCTAAGATCAAGAAAGCCACGGGTATCAAGAATGGCCTGGCGCTGCACCTTATGGCCCAAGGACTGTACAACCACTCTACCACCACGGTCCAGGACAAAGACGAAAGCGAGTAGTTGTGGCCAGCCCGGGGCCCGCGGTCCAACCGCGCCCGTGCCACCTCCTGGCTCCGCGGGGCTGCCGCTTCACCAGCCCCACGCCGCCTTGCAGAGATGATCGCTAAGAAGGGAGGCATCAACCATTAACCGGGAAGACAGAGAAAGCAAGCGAGAGAAAGCAATCCTCCGAGTGGACATTCACATTGGAATGGAACGGTTTTTGAAACGGGAGAAAGACTCGGACAGGTGCTATGGGGAAAAAAAAGATCTATTCTCTAACTCACAGTATAAGACAAAACTGCGAATTCCTTAAAGCTCTATCTAGCCAAACTGCTTACGACCGTGTATATATTTAATTTCAGGTAAGGAAAACAAATATGTGTAGCGATCTCTATTTGCTGGACATTTTTATTAATCTCATTTATTATTATTGTTATAATTATTATAATTATTATAATTATTTTATCCCCCATCCCCACTTGCTGCCCCCAGCCCAGTTTCGTTTTCGTTGCTTTTATCTTTTGAATGTTTTTGCTTCTCTGGGTACCTCCCGTCCTCCAACGCTGGCCCTGGTTTCTCTGGGACTTTTCTTTGTGTGCGCGTGAGTGTGTCTCCTTGCGTGTCTGCCCTTTGCCTTTCCTCTACCCACCCAGGATTCTTCCACTGGTCTTGTCTGTCCTCCTAAACCCCTTTCCTTTTCTGGAGACTCCTTGAGAAATACAACCCCACAGACTGCGAGACTGAACCGCCGCTACAAGCCAAAGATTTTATTATGTTCAGAAACCTGTAGTCTGAAATAAAATGTTCACTGTGTTCATGAGTTGCTGACTGCCCTCTTCTTTGCTGGGTGGGGGAAGAGCCTGCCCAGGCACTGTGTGGCTACCACTCTGATTACACAGGGTGGGTGCAGAGCTCTGGGAATATCAGGGTAGGCCAGAAGTATCACCACTCAACAAATGCCAGAGTCTCCGAAGGAGGGTACTTCACAGATTTGCTGTGGCCTTGGTCTGGGGCATACTCTGGTTCCTGGGTGCATGCTAGGGGACCCAAAAGCTAGAAAGGCCAATCGTGCACTTCCCTGCCGCCCCCTCCCCTCGGGGTTCCAGCTGGCTCCCTTTGGCTCCCTTAGCTTGTTCAGGCTCAGCCAACTGAGTCCTCCTGTTCAACCTGCTTCCACGCACCAAACTACACCCTTACTCTTCCTTTCTTTTTCCTTCCTCCCTTTGTTTTTTTTTTTCCTTTTTGGTGGGAGTTTGACTGGAGGTTTTTCTTCTCCAAAGGCAAGAGGCCTTACCAAGGCCTTACCAAGGCTGTCTGCTGAGTTGCCCAAAGTCTCTGCAGCCTGGACTTTATCTCTTCCTTTGTGCTTGGCACTCCCCTTGGCAGATAGTTGCTCTCATGGGCTGCACTGGGCAGGGGTCTCAGAACTGCAAAGCGAAGGCCTGAATGCTAGAAAAGTGTAACTAGTGATGATGACCTGGGCCTGAAAGCCCCCAGACCACCATAGGTCTACCGCTCCCTGGCTCCCTGATCTGAAACCTGAGTATGGAGATCGCTTCCCCAAATCCAACAAAGCCTTGCCAGTTTCCTCATTACAAGGAGAGGAGATTTCACACCAAAGACCTTAGATCAAGCTGGACACCTGGACAGCCCAGAGGACACCAGGGATAATTGTCAGTGACGCTGGGACAGACCCTCCAGGACAGGCACTGGGTGAAGCTTTCAAAGGCTAGATGGTAGAAGAGAGCCGAAGAGCCCACTTAAAGGCTACCATCTCTCTTTTGTTTAGGATTTCATAAATTATGAATTCCACCTTCCTCATTTTTCTAGATGCAAATGAATGCAACACATACGCAATTGTGTGTATATGTATGTAGATAAATATGCTGGATAGGTGTCCATACATATCTGTGTGCATGTGTGATAACATGAACATCGTAGTGAGTCTCGGTTCCCACCCATTTTGTGTGTCTTCTGCCTGTGTTTGCAATGTGCAACTGAGTGACGGTTATTCCGGGTCAGATGTGTGGTTGGGCATTTGTGAGCTCATGGTGCTTGCACATCAGAATGCTTGCCTGGTGCACTCAGGACTTAGGCAAATGTGGGGACCCTCTTCTTTGTGCTTTTCTCTAGAGTTTATTTCCTGTTGCTTTTATTTGTCAGGATTGGTTTAGGAAGAAATGAGAATAACCCAGTTATCCCATATTTTCCTTGAAAACGTCCCCCCAATTAGGCCCAATGATCCCACTCCTGGCCAGAGAACTATACCCCAGGAAGCCAAGAGGCCCAAGCAAGTCTCTGCACAGGACTTAGGATCTTGGGATTTGGTGGCCTAGAGAGGAGTTGGAAGTCCCTTAGACATTTCTATGGGTCCCTATATGTTACTACTGCTGAGGGAGATGTCATCTACACCTAGTGAGTGTTCAGCTGCTCTCTGGGCACAGAGTTGAACCTGGGAGATGCTCTCTTCTCTGGCGGTTTCCCAGTATCTGCTCTCCTTCTCTTAGGGAGCTTGGCATCCATAGGTCCTGCAGGCCTGCCTTCAGGTGAAGAAGTCATGTCAGGAATGCCAGCCAGCTCAAAATCTGGGCCCTGTCTCCTCCTGCAGCACTTGGGGGTGTGATGCTGAATTCTGTAGGGAACCTTACCATGTAGAATGCTACATACTGGACTCCTCTGCCTCCTCCTTTCCCCACCGTGGTCCCTTACTGCACTGGAGGTCACCTATTTCAGGAGCTAGTACAGAGGCCGCTGCAGAAGCGGCTCCAGGAAGTGTCCCATTCCCGAAGGCCCCAGAACAAAAAGGAAAAGACAAGAGATCTCCACCCCTTTAAGGTCAGGGACCGCAGAGGCCACTATGCCACCTCCTGGGTGTGTTGGCCAAGTGTCTAGGGGGAGCGGTATTGTGATGTAATTTGATTTCTTACCCATTATCTCTCTTTATCTTCTAATCACGTGGGCAAATAGAGATTTCTTCATTGTTCCGCGGGAGAAACCGGGCTCTGAGAACTTCGAAGCTTGTGGTCCTCTGTGCCTGGGTCTTTTTGTAGCCCACACTTCAAAGACACAGCGTTGTAGTCAAGGTCAGGACTGACCTCCCACTCCTCTCTCCCTCCCCTTTCCAATTTTCGTTCTTCGTGGTTTGGGGCAGGGGGAAGGGGAGGAGGGCTCTGGTCAGACCTCGTTCTGGCACCCCTTCTTTTAAAAAGAGAGAAGGAGAGAGTAATAATGATCATAAATAGGCATTGATTTCTCTGATTTATGGGGCTTGCTTGGCGAGCTGCCTGTGTATTAAAGAGCGGGGCCACATCGAGATAAATACTTGAACTGAGCACACCATCCCAACTTCCTCATCTTCTCCCTTCCTCCCCCTCCCTTAAAGATTGGATTGAACCATATACTTAAATCTTCCTCAGACTGGAAGGAAATACAAGCTACAGGAGTCTAAACAATATCGATCTCGAGCTCTTTTTGAGGGCAAAGGTCTCTGTTTTTTTCACTGAAAAGTCCTTTTCCTTGGGGGAGGGGAGAGAAGCAGCGGGAGGGAGAGGATGGAGGGGCAGGGGGGCGCTGCACGGAGGCAGCAGGCATTTGAGTGTACAGGTCTGTTTGTGTGCGCACATGTGTCTGTGGTCGGCTCATTATGTTTGGGCGTTTTGACTTGTGTGTTGTGCTTATATTTATTTAGGCTTGGGAGGTGCTTTGGGTATACAGGCTCCAACTGACAATCATCATTTGGTGTTTGTGGGTGAATGCAGGTGCTCGACTCATAAGCCCCCTAAATGGGACCTCCCAAGGTATAGAGGGGTGGCTCTAGCTGCCATAACCCTATCGGTTACCAGGAATGAAGCCATCTGGGAAGCCAATATGCACTTCAGAACAGCTCCCTTTCCCCATAGCCCTCAGCGAGACCAAAGCGCTGAGGCAGGGATGAGCTCTGGCTGCTCCTGAGGGCTAAAGCTAGAGGCAGGAGAAAAAGGCCTGTCCTGGAGCTGGGCCTTCTCTGGGGTGGCCCTGGATGTGTTCAGTGGCCAGCTTGGCTGGTTCTTTGTATGCCCCAGACAGGCCATTCCTCTGGCAGTAGTCATGATGTGATTTGCTCACCTATATGAAACTGGGACAAGTCGGGCAGGAAGACCACACTGCCAGCAGCGTCTCCCATTTGCTGCGCAGCCTGGTCTTGTTTAAGCTGAACATGACACTGTGCTCATATTAAAGACCATATTGGTCCCCTCCTCTCCCCCACCCCCACCCCGGGTTAGAGCACAGTCCCTCTTGGGTACTGGAGGTTTCAGCTCTCCCCCTCCCCATCTCTCAACTCTTCTACGAAGAAGACTCCTTAGCCTGATGATTTATGAAAAGAGGGCTTGCCCACGGTGGTGCACACTTTTAATCTCAGCACTCACAAGACACAGAGAGGCAGAAGGATCTCTGTGAGTTCAAGGCCAACCTGGTTTACAAAGTGAGCTCAAGGCTAACCAAAATTACATAGTCATATTCTGCCTCAAAATAAAATAAGTAAAAATAAAATAAGATAAAATAATGAGAGGGCTAGTGGGAGACTCTGGTGACCTTGCTCCAAACATTCTGTCTTTTAATAAAGCACCAGTTTTGGAGTGGTCCTCAGGAATACTAGAATAAAAAAGGGTTGCTTTGCATGAAGGAAAAAAAATCCTGGAATAGAAAGGGTCTTCCTGAGAAAAACAACAAGAAGAAAGCAAAGCCCTCAGTCCCTCAGTTGTGGTCTTATCAATACACAAGAAAACATGGCACACATACAGGTGTCTATATGAAGTGTGCCCATGTGGAAAACAAATCCACTTGCTTCTTATGCCCAAAGGTGCGGTCACAGTAGGCCTGAAGACACGACCAGGGCATAAGGTTCTGACAAATATATGGGCCAACATCACCAGGACTGTGACGGGACACGCACTACACATCCAAGTTCCTAGCCAGAGTGGGTGACAGTGGCCTCTGCATAGTTGCAACCAGGGAGTACACTGGCTGAGAGGGTTGCAGGTTCTCAGGCTCAGACCCCCTACTGGTAGCGGTTGTGGACCTCACCGGCCCAACTTAGCCAGACCTTCTGGGGGATGGAGCAGGCTGGAGAAGTAAGGGACAAAATGATGGGACCCAAGCAAATTTTCAGAGAACCTGGCTCGTAGCTGGTCAACACAATTTACTTCTGGAGTGTGCTTCCCTTGCAGCCTTTGGCACCACTCTGAAGGTGGTACAGATTCCTCGCTGTCACAGCTTCAGAAGTAGCAGGCTTTGAAGGGGGTCCTAGGCTGAGAAGGTGAGGGATTGGGATGAACCTTAGGAAAAACAAGACTCACTGTGGATATTTGAACATTCATCCACATCTCATCCCGAAGAGAATTCTCAACAGCTACAGACCCGACTTTAGGCAGTGTGGTAAGTGAGTGGAGGGGTTGTTAGTTGGGTGAGCCACAGAGGAGCCCTCTTTTCAACAGTGCAGGGGTATGTAAACCTGCCAACACTTAGGAACTAGCACCAAGAATTTTCTTCCTGTCCCATTCAAGCACAGCTGTCTCAGTGATGGGGATGGAGTTGGGTGGAGGAGGGGGGTTTGATGGGAAACTCTCAGCAAGCACTCCATTCCACCTGGTACCTGGAACTGAGATGCAGGAAGGAAGAAGGGCTCTCTTTGCAGAAGAGGAATCCCAGGACTCAGGAAGCACAAGGATTTTGGTTTCCTCGCTACCCTACTGCAAATGGCCAGGATTTCTAGCAGACAGGGAGCTATACCACAGGAGACTCCTTGGTCTTGGAGTTAAGGGGGCCGGAGGACCCTCTGCC